TTAACTGCGATGAAGAGGCAGGACGTACCTTCTGAGACGTAGGCGAATGGTTTGTTCCTGACCGACAGTAAAGTCAGCAGGTTGAAGAAGAGAGCGACGAAGGTCCCGACCAGCAGACGCCCGCTGCAGACAGAGAGGAACAAGTTCAACATGTTATCCAGACATGGTTAGGTCTGCAGACGTTCCCACAGGAACACGAGGTTCACATGTAGACAGATCTGAATCAAAGGACTCTGATCGCCTCAATTCAAGGAGCCAAACACAAATATTGCTTTAAAAGTTTATGACTGCAGTCGCTGATGAAGAAGTAGAATAAAATCCATGAAATAAATCTAAGATACACTTTTTGTATTTTAAACATACATGTTAAAGGAATGACGGTCGATTGTGGATTAAGATGCAGGAACGATGGCTTCAACTTATATTTGATTTTTCTTTCTATTTAAATGAAATAATTCGTGCTGGCAACCTCAGGTGTGCCATCTTCTTTATATATTGCGTTCACGGAGATTTTTGTATTTTTTAGCTGCGGCTCTTTGAGCATCGAGCTCTGATCAGGGATGGATTTCCATCGATCAGAGTTGGATTCAGGAGCGGATGAACGGCGTGCTGCACGAGGTTATTGTAGTTATCTAAAACTAAAAACTTAAACCTTTAAAAAACTGAAACCTCGAGTTTCACTTCCTAACCAAACACTAAAACAGTGAAGTGGAGCAAACAGACTGAACCCCCACGTGGCCACACCCTCGCCTCCCCGAGACCTTTCCCAGCGATCGGGGCCTCAGATCATCTGATCAGGGTCCACATCGACTGCGCTCTCAAGGCTGTACCTCCTAAAGTGTGACCCTGAAAACGCACGTTTACAGGCTCGCCTTACAGGGTCAGCTACAGCCATGCATGCTGGGATATCTACGCCTCTTTAATGGGTGAAGCACTGCTCTACGACCTGCTGTACACATGAAGGTAAAACTTTTAGAGTTTGTCAAAGTAAACCAACAATTTTAAGGTTTGAAACATTTTAACAAGTGAAATCTAAAAAAAAGACGTCGTCAGCTAAACAGCTGAAGTACAGATTAGTGTTTTTAATTAACATCCTTGTAATAAGAGCCTGTAAATAGATGCTCAGTAAACCGTGTTAATGAGACTTAATAAACAAACAAACAGAGTTTGAGCTCGACGGCCGTTTGAGTGATTAAAATTTAATGGTTAATGTTTTTAAGGCTTTGTCTTTGTGTCCCCAGAAGAAGTCGAGTGACTGTGTAGTGTGAGCACAGATTCACACACACACACACACACACACTCTCACACTAATCACACGGGACAATCCATTTAAGAGCCTAGAAATTTGGTCCAAACAATCAGCGGGAGGCGAAACGCTGCCCGACGGTGAGCCAGAATAACTGGATGATAACCTCCTCCTCCCTTTAAAAAGGAGATTAAAGAGAGAGAGAGTGTGTGGATGTCTCTCGCTCGGCGGACACCTTTCATGCCGTCCAATCACATCTCGTCAGAGAGGAGAGAGAGAGAG